CTGAGCAGCGTAAATTATTTTCAATCACCGCGAATGTGTTATGTCGCCTGCTGACATCATTATCATAATTGCAAGAGGAAGGTTGGTGTTGATTTGGTACAGGCCGTTATAATGACTTGATGTGACGTGCATGCAAATGTCTTTTTGCATGCATTATAAGGTACAGTCGTGCGTGTCACTGCAACGGCGCAGAACTTGTCATTGTTCAAGTCGTTGACACGTGGATCAAGTGGAAAAGGGGAGTGGTGGTGAGAGCTAAGCAAATGGGTGTCACGCTACATGCTATGCATTGGCAACAGATGGCAACAAACTTGAAAGTGCAGAATTGTTCTTTTCTACTCTTCTACGCATGTTAGAATATGTTATCCGACCGACTGCTGACCGCGTGAGGTGGTAGGAGGAGTGGCTTTTTGATTACTCGCAACCTACCCAACTACTGCCCATCCCACACCTCTGAGATGCGCATCACTTCATCCCCAGAACATCATCCTTTTGTGTGCTTGTATGCGTGTGCTGAACTCATTCAAAATGGTTTATTTGCTGATGACCAGTCAGTGATTTCGGTTGAGATAGGTCCACTCCCTGTAACACGGCACAACTTAAAGATGCACTAGAAAAACTTCTTCGGAAAGAAGCAGGACAAGTGAGTCAGTTAAAGGAAGGAAAGCCTTGTTCGTGCCAGACAGGCTATATTCTAATGTAGCACTTTGAGAGGAGGTTGGAGGCAAGAGATTGAGATGATACCCCACTTCATTCTCCATCATCCTTCTGATGATTTCCCTTACCGATGATTATCACCATTTCTTGCCAGGTGGGAAATGAAGGCGAGGGAGAAGGGTAAGCTGGGCTCTCAACACCCCAAGGCAAAGTGCTCCAAGGAGGCGACATCTAGAGCTTGTTAGATTCTCGTTTTGATGGGATTTGCGACGGTGCAGGTGATTATTTCTGCCAGTGAAGTGGCCTTCTGCAGTTACTTAACATTTACTGAAATTTGTGCGTGAACCTATGTGGTTGCCTTTAACAACCTCTGCACACAGTTTCTGAGAAGTAGCTCTTTCATGGCAAATGTAGGGGTATTTTAGTTGGACAAATGTGCTTTCTGTGGCTCTGCATTGAGTTTGCGCATTCTGGCGAGGTATGTGAACCAGTCGTGCCGAGGTTCTGTGAGCAGCAGGACAATGTAACACTGAGGATGCAATCTAACTTCGCAGATGCGGTCTGTGAGATTGGTATGCCAGAGTGGTTGCAGAGATAGTGATGGAACTTTGCGAAGGCGATCTGAGAAGCTGCAGTTTGAATGGAACTATTTGCTAGGCTTTCTGTTAAGTGAAAAACTGGAGGGTGTTTGGC